AACTAAACTAATACAATTCAGAAGTTAGATAAAATTTAGCGGAACAACTTGTTTTTAGTTGCCAATAATTGTGACACATAGCCAAATATGTATAGTGAACGACAGCTAAATTTTATGATGATAGCTGCAAATTTTAAAGGTTTTTAGGACAAATTTTCGAAGTAATGGATTTTTTAAAGAAATGTAGAGAAGTTGTATGAAAGGAAAATGATATAAGTTTTTCATTTCGATGACAATGGCCCAATCATCAATCAATTAATGGATGAGGAAATCTGTAGTACGGTTCCAGAAAATATTGTTCCCGATAGTGAAGAAAGTGACAGAAAGGTTACTGAAAGCAAAAATTTTTTATTTACAAGTTAGTCGGAAATCTTGACACAGCAATTACAGGATTTCAACAGTGTAAATAAACAAAAAGTTATGTCTATCTACACAATTAAAGAAAAAGCATTAACACAAAAAACGAAGCAATTTACATTGAAAGAAATTTTGGTTAGAGTAAATTTGTTCTAGCGAGCAGGCCCCTTTCTAGGAAAGCAGCAGTGGTGGCAACAGCTAGTCTTCTGTAACAAATCATGCAGATTTATGATTTTACTTTTCATTTTAACTTATGCTGTTTGATATAAAATCTGCCTGCTATTTACTAAAGCTCTAAACTGAGCAAGTACTTTACAAAATAAGACATAAAAGGAAAAATCATCATAAAGCTAACTGTTTGTAAAACGTAAATAAAATGTCAGTTATCTTCTTTCAACTCTGCCCAACTATTTTAAGGGTAAAATATTTAATGCTACCTGATAAATTTTATAAAGTTGATTTTATTCTCAAATTTGTTTTATAATTATGCTTATTAAATTATGTTTAATAATAAGGCATTCTACTTGTGGATCTATTTTATTCTTAGGATGGCATCACAAAAGTGAAATTCAGGCATAGCTAATATTTTTAACTGAATTTATTTAGTTTCTTTTTTTGATGGGTCTCTAATTTTTTTTCATTAATGGCCCTTAAAAGTACTTAATTTCTATCTTCAGAAATGTGTTTGAACACTGTAAATTTATTGCCAGATAAATACATTTTCATAAAATTCTAGTTTGCTTACTTTAATGGCATAACACTTTGCCTTTTAATTTTTGTCAGGATTATTGGACTGATAATCAGAAAATACCTTAATATCAACCAAGAATGGTAAATTATCTAACAGTAAAATGTATGTTAAAAACAATCAAATTATTTTTAATTTGTATCTTTCTGTTGGATAGTTTACTTTCATGACTTATATTAATTTTCTTTTAATTAATTTTGCACAACATGTATGGTATTTATTATTCAATTAAATATTCTCCAGTTTTTTTATCTTTATAGATACACAAAAAATTTGTGGATTAAAATACCTAATTTATTATAGTCCATAACTCTCCTTTTTAATTTAGTTATTTACTTTTTTCTATCTTAAAAATAGTAATTGCTTATAATAAATAAATGTCTCTAAACTGTATCATTGCAGAATTAATGTTGCTCCTATGATTCGCACATAATATTTATGATGCAGATGCTTGCATAACACTTCACAAATAACTTCATATTTGAAAACTAAAAATTAATCCAGTAAAGCTGAAGTGAAGTAGATTTATTCAGAATAAGACTTTGATCTTGGACCGGTAGCATTCTCTCTCTGACTTTCATCCTGGTAAATTATTTACTTTCCACTGCTGCTTTTTCTATACTTCATCAGAATTTGTTCTTATAAAGACAGATGAAGTCATAAATTACGTTGTGTAATTCAAGTCTAGAATGTACTCCTCAAGAATTGTTTTATTCAGAAACAAAAGTGTTGAATCGACCCTGACAGTAACTATTACCTTATGCATCTACATGTCTTCAACATCCAAATTATTTTGGTACTTCTTTTGTTATAGCGGCCCCCAACCATATGTGGCGATTTTAGATTTGCACGAAGATTTCATCTATAATTTTGCCTAGTACATTAAGTGTAAATGTAAAAATAAGCAACACCATGTATAATAATAACACTCGCATGTCGTTTCCTAAGAATATTTATAAGAATCCTTATCCTTATTATTGGTACTGTTCTGTTATTGCGGGACTGGGTCCAGAAATACATGGATGTATGTGTTCATGTATGCATGTATACGTACATATGTATTTGTGTGTGTACAGACACATATACACACATACATGTACATATAGACATACACTTCTGAATTCGGTCTTGATAACCGAAGAGTACCTTATTATTTTGTTGCATGTAATTGTTCCAGTCAACACTTTCACACATATTAAACTGTTTGTTACACCATTTCATGGACGTCAGCTTCTCTGCCCAAGAATACATAAATCTAAAGCACCTCCAAATAGTTTCGTAGTTAACACAGTTTCATGTTGTGGCCATGTCTGCATAGTCATTTTTGAGGTAAAAGACCTCTTTCTAGAAGAAGTGATATGGCATACATGTCATTACTTGGTAAATTAAAGATTGTTAATGTCATATTTGCAACCCCCCCAAAAAAGTGAATGTATTTTAAAGTAAACTATGCAAATTCTAAAACTTCATCAAAAATGAATAATATGAGAATAAAGCAAGAGCAGAGGTGTAACACAGTGCTATTATACAGTTATGTGACAAGGTAAAGCACATGCAGCTGGTGTTAATATACGATCATGTGGTAAGGTATAAACTGTCATTACTGTGAGATATTACTGTCAGGGTCGATTCAACATGTAGCCAGATTTTGGCAAGATATCGCAGCTGATTTGCGATTCAGTCTCAGCTGCTGCCATAGCAAAAAAAGCATCATTATTTCTTACATGCAATAATATTTTATAGCATGTATTCAAAATATAATTATTTTCATACATTTTTACAAAAGGTTTTGAATAAAATACAGTACAATGTCCGAGATCCAGAATCGTTGCGGCTTCGGCAATTCTGGATTTTCCATCATCACTTTAAATCTAGTAAGATGACATGAAGACATGGCAACATTAGGGCTTTGCTTATAGTTTACTACCCTCCAATTTGAGATCTGGAATCTTCGAATCTTCAGCGAGTCTCGACATTGGTTATTTTGCAGATTTTAGACTAGCTGTTGATGGCATGGTAACAGAAGAATAATATCCTTACCCCACAGATCAGTACTGTAGCAAAAATATTAGAATTTAGAGAAATTCACCAAGCAGTAAAAATTAGAGATGCCAAAATTTTAGAATTTAAAAAGGTACCAGACAACAGAATTTAGAACCTGCAAAGATTGCACTGAGCATCAGAATTCACAGTGCCGCCCTTGCCCTCCCCCCTAGTGTGATCCTCTACAGTTTCAATACATTCATATTGGCTACAATGGGACATTAGCCAGCAAGTATTTGAAAGTTACATGCAGAAATCTTGATTAGCTGGGGTGGGAATCATATTTATGGCACACCTCCCCCCTCTTTTTGTTGGGTATTATCTTCTCCAGCCCTAGATTTTTTAAGGCAGGTTTTTTTTTTTTTTTTTGTATCGTTTTATTTTATTTATTTATTTTTGGGTTGGTGGTCCTGAGGTTCATCTGGGTACTATATATATTTTTGTATTATTCTTTTTTATTTTCAATCAATTATTTAGAGGCAATATGTAATATAGGAAAGCTTTCATTGACAATTGTGAATTTACAATCCTTTGCCTCTTTGATATCTTTGTTGAGGACTTTATAAAGACTTAAACTGGCTCTTATTTACGTAAATAATCCAACAAAAGTGCTGGATTTAATATGCTTTAAGAAAATTGAAAATATTTTTACATATAGGTGTAAACATTTTGATTTAAAAATACACTTGTTCTTGATGAAATTCGTAATTACTTTTTTACAAAGCTACTTATCAAGTTGACTAAGGACACATTCAATTTCCTCTTTCAGTTCTTTTGTGCTTGTTATTTAATGTCGGATATTTTGATTCTTACAACAAACTGTCACGTGTAATAGGGATAGCTTCAACACATGGGCTGAATCAAGAACTTGGTAATTTAATGGTCACTCTTGAAGCTGTATTCTCAGATTTCTTTATCAATCTGCAAAGTGTTGTTTTATTAGGTTTATTTTCACATCAAAAGACTGTACAAACCTTCTTAACAGTCTGTGTGTAACGTATGTTGTTTTGATAATGAGTTTTTGCAATCAAAACTCCCTGTTTGCTTATATAATACTCCATGTTCACTAAGGTATAATGAAGCTGCAAAATGAATCAACATTGCCAGTGTTGCAAGGTCAAATCAAATTTGATATCCTTAAATTTAAAGATTTACCTGTTGTAAGTACATAAAAGCATTTTCCATTTGTTTGGAAACTATTAGATCAGATGTTTTTGTTGGAACACCTTCCAGTATTATTATATAAGTGTAGGGTTATGAAGTTACAGCATGAGTGTATAAGAAGGATCATTATGCGGGAATGCTGGAAATGACTATCTTGTTCTTAAACACACAAATCTGCATGACATGGTTCTGACCACATTATTCAGAGTGCTGACTGGCATATTACATGTGGTGTTTTATGATAATCTTCTGTGGGCCTTTTAACTTCTAATATAGCAAACCTGTTCTTGTTTAAAATTAATAACACTCGCACTCAGTGAGGTCATGTAAATAAGGTTGTGAAGTTGTGGTGTACTGAATGTACTTAACCTCCTTTCTGATAATTATGTTTGTTATTTCATTCTGTAAAAACACTTAAGCGAAGGTCAGACACCTTTATCCAAAACAGCAATGCTCCCAAATGGATTTCATTGCTATAATAAATAATATTTACAGTGAGATATGAGGGACTGAAGTATCTCCAGAAATTTCTTTTAAAAAGTGATTCTTTACTTTCATAGTATTTTAAACAGATATATTGGCTACTATGTCAGAAATATTTGATATGAAGTGTCAGTTATGAAAATGATGTTGTTATTATGTCAATTATCAAATAGTCAATTAATGAACTCCTTATCAATCAAATTAGGTAAAAATCCAGATGATGATTATTTAGATGGAATGATGAAAGAAGCTCCAGGGCCAATAAATTTCACAATGTTCTTAACTTTATTTGGAGAGCGTTTGCAAGGAACTGATCCAGAAGATGTGATAAAAAATGCCTTTGCTTGTTTTGATGAAGAAAATACTGGTCGAATTAATGAAGAGCGTCTCAGAGAACTTCTTACTACAATGGGTGATCGATTCTCTGAAGAAGATGTAAGTTTATTACATTGATATTTAAGTACTCAGGTTCTACGCTTTCTAATAATGTTGTGTTTTGTATATTAATGTGAAACTCTTAGGTGTCATAATAAATGTAATACTAGTAGGGACACTATTAACATGCAAATCAATTTTGCTTTAAATACACGCTCTGAAGTTCATAAGTATTATTTATCATTGAAACATAGTAAGTTGATGTTAGTGAAGAATGTCTTTAGGAAGGCGGAGAAGCCATTATCGACAATCAGCGAGTTTGAGTGAGGTCATGTAAATAGGGCTACAAGGAGGATTTTCTTTCCTTGATATTGCAGAAAGACTTGGCAGGAATGTATCCACTGTGCATGATTATTGGCAGCAGTAGTCAAGGGAAGATACTGGCTCAAGAAGATCAGGTTCTGGGCGGCCAATTGTAGCATTACTAAAGAGGGAAGACCAATGTGTTTGATGTATGGCTCTGTTGAATCGTACTGCGTCCTGCAGTAGAAATTTGAGTTGCAGTTGGCACCACAATGACGCAGTAAACTGTTAGAAATTGGTTACTTGAAGGACAGCTGTGAGCCAGACACTCTGTAGCATGCACTCCACTGACCCGAAATCGTGTATGTTTGAAACCGTGAATGCCGTGTATGACCTCAATAGTGTCAGGCTTGGAGGCCAGAGTGGTGATCTACTGTGTTTTCTGATGAAAGCTTGTCTGAGGCCTAGACACACTGGACCTATACCTGGAGTGAGTTATGGTCTGAGAAACGATTTCGTATGACAGCAGGAGCTATCCCATGCATCCTGACTGCAAATTTGTGCGTCAGTCTGGTGATTCAACTTATTATGCTGCCATTCATGAACAGCATTCAAGGAGGTGTTTTCCAACAGAATAATGCTCGCCCTCATACTGCTGTTGTAACCCAACATGCTTTACAGAGTGTCGACCTGTTGTCTTGTCCTGCTAGATCACCAGATCTTTCTCCAATCAAGCTTATGTGGGACATTATTGGACGGCAACTCCAGTGTTATCCACAACCAGCATTAACCATCCCTGTATTGACTGACCAAAAAGAACAGGCATAGAACAACATCACACAAAGTGACATCCGGCACCTATACGGCATGATACATGCACATTTGTTTTCAGATTTTGGGCAGTTACACCAATTATATATGTACCAGTATTTCACGTTTGAAATGGCTGTTTTCATCCTTGCATTAACCTGTGATCTTGAAAATTTAATCACTTAAATATGTTACATAGACAAATATTTTGCCAAAATTTGTTTGGTGTTTTTATTGCAGTCGCCAAATTTGGTGACATTTTGGTCCAGTTCCTGTATAACTGTAATTGGTATTGTAATTGAATAACTCTAATTGAGCCTCTATGTAACTGTATCTGGCTCTCGTATATCTTCGAGTAATTTCATGAAGTACTAGAGACTTCTCGGTAGTCGGGAAAAACTATACAAAACTGGAGAAAGCATCAGTTTCTCAGTTATTAATTTGGAGCTGAATATGGAATATTGAGATATCCATCAGAGCTTCACCTTTTAGATGTATTTTGTTTTGTTTAACATTCTTAGTAGTTTGAAAGAGTGTTCGGTTATTTGTTTGCAAAGTTCCAGAACTGTGAAGTGTTTCCTTTGGTAAAATAAATCTTAGGAAGCTGTCATAAGTTTTGTGTGCATTTAATCTATTATGAACCCACACATATGCAACAACATATGTTTTGCTGTTAAATACACCATATACTTTAAGGAATTTTCGATCTATTAGGATAGTAATCATTTTCAGGCATATGAATTTCAATAGTGTACAAATCAATGTTTTTGGTACGTAAAAATTCTGGTCTTGTATAAAACATTTTTTTTTTTTTGGGACCATGTGTTCTTATGCAGCAAATGAAGTTTAATTTCAGGGTAAATTTTATAATTAAAATATATGTCTGACATGTAATGCTGTTCTTTTCACACATACATTTTCATACTGTAGATTTGTGTGCCTGATTTCTTTTATTTTCTCCCCCTTCTGTATTAATCTTTTTCTGTCTTAAGTTATTTAAAAAATGCCAACAGAAGGCTTTTAGTGTTCATATCATAACATTGTTACCATTAATCCCATTCAGCATTTGTTTTGTGGAATTGATTTGCCATTCTTTTAGAGCATGTGACAGTTCCAGTGAATATTGGATGTCTGTATAAAGGCAGGATGTTACCTGTTTGCTGTATGCGATAGTATACGAGGTTATTTAATTACTGTAAAACACATGGTATTAATACCTTAGAGCTGTCTTTTAAATCAGTTGATCTGATCTTTTCCTTAGTACATAAGTTAAAGGTGTTACGTTCATTTCATTTTTACTATTGTGTAAATATAAACAACAGATATTCAGGACAAGCATGGCAAGAATTTGATTATAATTTTTTATATTTGTATAAATAAAGAAATATTATACATAAAACATATTTACCGTAATTTCGCGCGTATAGTCCGCGGACTATCTGTGTTTAAAATGCGAATTTTTGAAGCTGCGGACTATCCACCAGTGCGGATAATACGCTGGTTGTTCACGGTTAAAATCGTTGAAATTTAAAAAACACACTGTCGTGAACTGCTGATGATCAAATATAAAAAAAGCGCGAGATTCCAAGAAAACATTCGTATGTATCGTATCGATAGTAAACCATAGAGCATAGTGCAGAACGAATAAGTAGTAGCAAGTAGAGCTCCTAAAATCCAGGCTGGCTCATCAAGCGATGCCGAGACATGAGCCAAAGAAAGTATGTATGAGCACTCACTTAGCGCAACCAGAGTGTTGTATCCCAGTATCCTTTGCACTGCTTTAGCGTAACTGACAGCCATAGTAGCAAGTACCTGGAGTACGAAAAAAAAAAGCGTCATTCGTTTACTTATAGCGTGGTTTGGCAACACCGAGTGAGTGGGGTCGAAGGTCACATTTCATTACCACTTATCACGAGTATAGCACGTTGCACAGTATTTTGTTTTCGTATTTTGTCTTTCATCTTCGATAACGTTGATGAAACATCGCCGGAGTTTTACTGCTGAGTTAAACTCAAGGTAGTTGACAAAGATGGAAATAGAGAAGCGGGCCGTTATTGGTTTAATCCTAGTATTCGGTGCACACGGGATTTGGCTACTTTTGGCGACTTTATGATGAGCAGGAAAACGGGACATATACGATGAGTAGTTAACGGATCATTCAAAGAAAATATATAGTTAAACATAGTATATAGTATATATATTATGTGTGTATATACATATACTATGTGTGTATACTATATATATATAGACGTTCTTTGGATCATTTTTGGTGTTGGCGATAATTTTCAAAGTCGCGCCAAGGCTGCATCGTATACTAGGATTTTACCCTGTTATTTTGAAGTGGACGAGAAAGCAGTGAGAAATTGGCGCAAACAAAAGGATATGTTTAAAAAGCATGGGAATATTGCCGTATTAAAAAAAAACGTAATTTCGGACGTATAGTCCGCGGATTATCCGGTGGTGCGGACTATTTGACGATTTTTGAAATTTTTTTTATACAAAATCGTGTCTGCGGACTATACGTGCGAAATTACGGTAAGTAAAATTTGGAAATTTTTGTTTTCCGTGTATTCTCAATAAGTAAAATTTGGAAATTTTTGTTTTCCCTGTATTCTACATTTGTCTAATCAGTTTTAGAAGTAAAACTACATAAAATTATGCCTTTCAGTTTGAGTCCATGTAATATGTTTATTATATTTAATCCATTAAAAAAATAATGCTTATTGGCTTCTGAATTTGTTTTTCAGGTAGATGAAATGTACCGAGAAGCTCCCATAGATAAACATGGAATGTTTGACTATTTAGAGTTTACTCGAATTTTAAAACATGGTGCTAAAGATAAAGATGATCAGTGAATAGTAAGCTGGCTTACTGAAATGGAACTGTAAAAGCATTTTTTCTGAAGATTAATGCTTCCTACTAACATCTTTCAAAAGTGCTTTTTATCCTTTTTATATGTAATTTTACTACATACAAGAGCTTTCACTTGTAAAAAAGCATTTAGACATTTTGCTAATAATATGATGGAAATGTATTTTTCTACTGCAGTATCTTGAATTGTGTATTATAGCTTAATTTTATTATGATTGATCATTTTGTATGTAATTTTTTGATTTATAGTAAAATTTAATATGGATGTAAAAAATTATAAAAGTCTAAACTTTTTTTTTTTTTTTTGGTAAATTTAAGTGAAATAAAAAAAAAATAATAACTTGCACAAGTAAACTTTGTACTTGTTTGGGCTATAAACGTACTATAAATAAAAATGTTATGTCAACACATCAAAGTAAATAAACAAATAACTTTATTAAAAAGACAGGTTATAAAATACTATTACATTCTTAATGTGGGCGATGTATTTGTTTTAGTTATTCATTTATTTCAAATTTCTAAATTTGATTTTGCCTTCAATCTAAATTCTCATATCCATTATGGTATTTATTTGCAGACTGTACTTAATTTTTTACGTACGTGAAAAAATGAAAAAAATAAATGTCCTGGCAGAGGACTGTAAATCATATATTTCAGAAAGTTTAAGTGTTTGCAAATTTATTTAAAGACATTTTTGGCATTTTTGCTCTGATGTAAAAAATCAGTGTTTGTTGCATACTAAAATATATTGTTGCTTGGAACTCTGAATTCAAAATCTTATGCATGATTTTATATAGTTATCTAAAAAATAAATTTGAAAACAATATGTATAAGTAAGTTTTTATTAATTTTTTACTCTTTCATAAATGTTATAAAATCTTCTCTAGAAAGCATTGTCTTAAATGAAAAACAATTACAACTTGTAATATGTTCAGATGTTGCATACTATATATATTGTTTTTTACTCTTATTTTTTCCTCCGGTGCTGTGCCAATTAAAGCTCAAGATTCTCTTATGATTCATTTTGCATACTTCGACACTTATTAGCAGTGATTTCCAATGTATAATATTTAAATGAATCTTGCAAAAATTAGGGAAATAATTCCCCTAGTCATAGATATTGTACTTTTTTAATTTTATGTCTCATTTTTTTATTGAAATAAACAGCTAATGTACTATATAATTTTTCATATTAATTTTTATGCTCTATTTTAATGCATTTCCTATCCTTTTTGTATTTTGAACTGTGAAATTGAAGTTTGTAATTTAGTATGCATTTATTTTTCTGTGTTTCGTATAGTTATTTTGATTAGCTAGCAATTTCTTTTTCTTAATTTCTTTTATATGCCTCTTCTTTGTGAGAATGTTAGCATCTGCTGAATCAAAATTGTCAGATAACTTTTGTTTTTTTAAATGTATATGTGATCTGAAAAACAGATTTGAACAGATGGAATATGAAGTAGTTTTAAGCTGAATTATTGTACTTATTTTTTAGCCGTGAATTTAAAAATTGCCATTTTCTTTTGTTACACAGTTTATTTAAAATTTTTTTGACTTTTTCCATTTTTCTGATTAAATAAAAATAAAATTTCTGTTTTCTCTCTTTGTTATAAGTTATTTCCCTTCATTTCAGTTAATAGCATTTGCTTCATTAATAAATGAAAAGCTGTGTAGATGATTTTATACAGGTAAGATATTCTTGTAGAGTCTTATTCTTTTAGGGAGCATAGAAAGTGGACCCTGCCGAAGACAAGATAATGAAGTCTCACAATGTCGAGAAAAACAGATAACTGCCACACTGGAGAGATTAATGTTTTCTCCAAAAGAATGAGATTCAGACAGTCTAAACTTGTAAAGTTATGGTAAATATGTTCTGGGATAGTCGCTGTATTTTGCTAGTGGACTTCATGGCAAAAGAGACAACAACTGCATATTATCAGACTAAAAATTTTGCAGGACAATCAAGAATAAATACCGTTGCATGTTGTTTACCAAAGTTCTGTTGCTTCAAAACAATATGAGGCCACTGCTGTTGTTCATATGCAACTTCTAATCAACTCTTGGTTAGCAGCAGTAGGATCATCCTTATCTCCTTCTCACATCTCCTGCATCGGATCCTGACCTCTATCTATCTTCCTATCTCCTGTGTCGTGGCGTACAATGAACTGGAAGTTGATCTGTCAGCACTATCCTCATCTTCAGGGCATATGTTTTTATTTTATTCGGCTTATAATTCTTTAATAAATGTAGTATTTCATCTCCATGTACTCCGTGTTTGATATAATTTAAATAAATTTCCTCATCATTATAAATATCACAAATACACATCAAATAGTTTTCTGGTTGCAATTTTCTCATTTCGACTATGCGTAACGTATGCTTTACGCATGCGCACATTGAAAGAAATGTTTAATAAAGTAAACAAATATTAAGCTTTTTTTTTTTTTTTTTTTTTTTTTTTTTTTTGTAAAATTTGATGCTCTTTAGATCATAGCTGCTCTTTATTTCAAAAATTACGGTTTCATATTTTTAATTGTACAATTTCTGCATGCCATCTTACCAGATTTAAATTGATCTATAATTCGGAGAAACCCCTAATCTGGAATCGCCGAGTCCAGATTACAGACTTTGTACTGTAATCTATTTGAACATTATTCCTGAAATTAGAAAAGTCTTGCATAGAAATAGGAAATTGATTGGGTTAGTTAAACTAATTTAAATGCTAATAAAATTTTAATTTAGGGCTTTAATTAAAATATATTTTTCTCACATAGCATTGAAAATATTTCAAACAGTAATAAAAATTGTTATTTGTAACTTTGTGGAAAATTTTAAGCAAGATAATCTTAACAAAGTTATAAGATTTTCCATAAATGAATAATATTATGTTGGCTTCAAGTTGACATTTACCAGGATATCACAGAACATATATAGTTGTCTGATCACAAAAGCAATAAGTTAAATTCAGCTATTTTTTCAAAACCCCTCTAATCATAAATCTCAAGTTCACAGCCTTTCTTTTGGATAAAAGTCATGGGTGATACTGCAAACACAAATATGATCACATTTACTGATACTAGATATAATGAAGGTTTAATTTTTATTTATTAAACCAGTTACATATATGTAACTTCATATGAGAATTTGCATATTAAATTTTATAAATTACTTTTTCTTAAGAAACTATGTATGTGACTTTTGATATTTCTTTGGTTAAAAAATTGGAAAGTACTATATGTTGGGTAAATTAATTTTGTAATAGCCATTTTTTTTGGGGGGGGGCTAAGTTGTTCTGGAGCATGCCAATGACTGACTAGTAAAATTGCTGAGCATTGGCAAGTTCGATGTGAATTCAAATCTATATGAACAGGCTGGCTGTGTAAGAGTTTTGTGGTTTTCTTCCGTGTGTGATTGAATGTGAACGAGTGTCTCTTAGGAAATTTTCCACAAAAGCATATCGGCTGTTGGGCATATATTTCTTGAGTGCTGTTCTATAATTTAATTAATCCTATATAGCATAGTGTTCAGTATTGTTCTTTTTTTGTTTATGTTCTCGCAAATGCATAATAAAAGTATAAACTTCATTTTGACATACCAAACAAATATAATGATTGCTTTGAAAGAAAATTTAAATCATTTAGTTAGTTGATTGAGCAATTTTCTCTTTTTTAAAAAAGCTTATATTTGATTGGAATACAGGTGTACTCAAAAAATGAATTAAAGGAAGCTTGAGGTACTCAAACAGATAAAATATTGATGATCAAAAACTGGATAAAATTATTCAAGTAAAGACAGTATGATGGTTAATGATGCCGGTTATCTGATTGTTAGGCCTGATTCAAATTCTGATTTTGAAGGTATGAATATTTTTATATGTATTATAATACTGCGGTATGGGGGCACTTAAAAATTGTAGAGCATAAAGCCTCCTGAAGAAGGTGGTGGTAAGGGTATGATATCCCTGGATTCTAACCCCCAAGATGCTCTTAATCAAACTGGGAAAGAGTTGGCAAAAGTCATACTGTTACCTATAAGGTAGCCAAACAGATTCTCTACCATGCTATCCATAATGAACTTGTGAACTTTATCTAATCTGTACTTAGACCAGAAAAATATGTAACAGCAGCACATATGTTATAATAATAATTATATGATATTAAAGAAGTGAAGTTATTGTATGTTATCATTTAAAATTAGAAAGTTTGATAGTATCAGAGCTATAATGAATATATCAGGATGCTGGAGTCGAAAAACTCTTTGTACACATGGATGTTCCAAGATTGTCTATTCAGTCCATTTTAACAAATAATTTAAAATTATTGAAAAGTAACTATCTCATGATTTGTTATCTGATTGACTGCAAGATTGTGTGATTATATAAAAAAAATGAATTTAGTTGAGTGCCACTGATATCCTGTAACCACCCATTATACATATTTAAGCACCACAAAATGATATTAATTTGCATTATACTAGTACAACCATCAACAAATGTTTTCAATGAGGAATGCATACATGACTTATAGTTTGGATGTTGTTATGTCAGATATGCGATATTCGGCAAGACCCAGTTGCTAGAAGTTGAAAACGTTAAATGTGCTGTCATATTTAATTTTTTGATTGAACTTATTTTAGTATTAGCTTTGACAAATAGTAACCTACCAGCTGCTAAATTCTCTGAAAGTGGTAATAAACTACTTGACCCCAGATGACGAATGAATGGGCTGCCATCATGGTGTTTTTAATGGTTGTCTCTAAGTGTAAAATGGATGTGCGACAATTTTCCGCAGAGGCATCATAGCATCATCTATCATTTCATTAATAAAATAATCTATAAAGTGTCCTTTCCCCCCCCCTTCATTTGGGTCAATCTCCATTTTATATCAGACATTGTTAACTATTAGTTTAACTTGTACGTTAAAGGCTGTTTTCTTGACTATCGCTGCTTTCACCGTCGGCTGGTGTTATAAGATCATCCAGTTCTTCATTTGTGAGATGTCAAAATGATCAAACTCTAAAATACTCTTGAAGAACTGAAAGATGTAATAGATCGGCATGAAATAAACTTCAAAATTGATTTGAAAATGTTTTAGATAATTTGAAGATAAGGTAGATTTGTGTAATCCAAATTTTTGTAGACAAGTTACGCATAAGCTCATTAACATAAATTGAGAGAATGAATATTGAATAATTAACTCACATATGCATATATTTTAAAAATTGCTTGAAATTAAATGGTAAACCTTAGGAAGTTCATCAAGATGATTTTCAGTACCGTACAGTTGAGTAAGTTTTTCAGAAAGCTGATTTTTGAAAAATTATTATAAAAAATATCCAAATAAATGAGTGTCGGATTATACCAAAAATTCGGAAGTTAAAAGGTTTTAGCACTGTAAATATCAGTTGATATCTGAAAAATATTGCGAAATATGATTAGATTTTAATGGTCTAGAACGGAGTTTCTTAAATTGTGGGTCATAACCCCATTTAGGGTCGTGGAACTTGAATTTTATAATTACCAAATATTTTTACACAACGTATCTGAAAATAGATAAAGATAAGACAATACAGACAAAGAAAAAACAAACATTTCGATGCATTTTTTTTACAATAGAAACCTTCATTTTATTTTAAAATTTAAAGTAAATTATCTAAAACTGCAATATTATATTACAGTGCAAGTGAAGAAACATAGTTTCACTCACGCGCGTGTCGGATTTGCGCAATGCTTATGGGGGTCCCACAAAATTTTCAACCCTGGTAGAGAAGATAAATGTAATCTTACAAAAAGTATATCAGAAAAGATTTTCAATGATGATATCAGGAAACGGCCAGCATAATTATGGTTTATTTATAGAGGTTTGGAAAAAAAAAGTAAATACTTTGACCATATAATAATGGAGGAAATTTATGTATTTTCTCTTCTGTTTCCAAAGTAAAGATCTTTATGTATTTTTCAAGGGGGTAAATGTTTTACGTTCCTGAATTCTTTACAAAATACACAATATATTCCTTTTTTGATATTTTTAGGCAATGATCATTTTGGTACATCAAACATCGATAGAAATCTTTAAAAATACACTATTAATTTTTAGTCTCAATTAATATTTATCTTTTATTTTAAAAACTTCAGATTTTTAAGTATATTTTCATTTTTCTTGTAATTTTTTAGTCTGTTATATTTAAAGAATATCTAGAAAACATAATACAATATTTCTATAAAAATTTGATATGAGATAGAATTGTGCAGGTTTTAGACAGAGTGACGCAGTTCTAGAATTGTGCAGGTTTTTGACAAAGTGACGCAGTTCAATCATTTTGAATTTCCTAGATTTAGCTTTCTTCCGTATCTGAAAATCCTTCGCCACCTATTGCTTTTGCAATTTCCTTAGCTTCATTTTTCAGTCAACGGAAATCCTTGAACATTGTTGACAATTTCTGGGGAGTGCTAATGCGGGCAAGCATTCATTGTTGATGAATCCACTTATTCCCATGCGGGTTTAATCATTTCTATGCAGTGTCTTACGTAGAGTTGCTCCCAAAATGCCAATACTGTGTTGTGCTTTATTTGCAAATTTGTAAACATACCTGATATAATAGGCTTTGAATGTTTTACAATTCTTTGATCCATTGGTTGGGTTAAGGAAGTGGTGCTCAATGACAGGAATGAAGTCTCTTCGCTTGGAAGCACTGTTGTGAGGGATTTTCGGTACTATGTCCTGGATTCTGTGCTGTCTAGAACAGTGATTCTCAACCTTTTTTTTTTTTGTCGCGACACATTTGTAACGATTTCAAAATTTGGCGGCACACAAAGAAAAAGATAAGTTTAAAAATTGTTTACTTACCTATAATACACTGTGTAAATAAGTTTATGATAATAATTTTGAATGTAAAATAAAATAATATGTATTACAAAAACAGTAGTGAGTTTATTAAGGGAGTAATTACAAGTTATTAATAAGAATACTTTTAATGAGAAATTTGAGCTTGATGTTTTTTGATAATTTCATTTATATTTGGTTGTAAAAATGGCAATGCCACGTCTTCTACATTTAACAGTCTCTATCTTTTTTTCGTTTTTATGTTGGTTAATACTGAAAATCCGAATTCACAGAAATAAGATGTAGAAACCTGTAATAATATTTTTAAAGCTTTTTTGGCCGTCATGGGATAATCGCATCTAATGTTAATCCAAAATGAATTAATTGATTCTTCGGAATATTTTAAGATTAAATCTCGATTATTAGAAAGCGAAATTAGTTCTTCTTCGTTCAAAGTTAATTCAAATACAGAAGTATTCCGCACCAAAATCGGCTCAGATCCACAATTGGCGCGCTCATTAATGTCTTAAAAACCGAATTTCGCAAATTGTTATGTGTACCGTATACTGGGATTAAACCCATTATAAATTTTACTAGTATACATTTCTAAAATTTGGCGGCACACAAAAGTGCCGCGACACAGTGTTTCAGAATCACTGGTCTAGAATTAGGAGAACTTTAAAGCTCAAATTTTGGTTTTCTAAGTAACATTTGACTTCTTTTATGAAGGAATTTTCAAACCACACATCAAAGAGGATTATCGCAATGCGGCCGACACTGTGTAGCAACATTATTAATCGGGAAAGGGGAAAACCGTCAATCATTTTTACTGCGTATGATTGAAATTCTTGCATTGGACAAATTTAATGGAAAAAATTAAGACAAAGCATATATATATATATATATACAAAAGAGTGTTCGCCAATCATTTACGTTACTTATCTTTTTTCTGAAATAAATAAAATATAAATTTGTTATAATATGCAGAGGTTATTTACAAATTTTTAGAACGATTTTAATAAAGAATTAAAGTAATTGTCTTGGAATAAAACTTTCTAGCAACAGCTTATTATTTGAAATGTGAACTACCGTCTGCCGCTTTTAAATTTGTTCTTTCTGAATGTCGCATGTACGCAAGCTGTGGATTGAAGGTTATGTTTTGCTCTTTCCGAAGAGAAATAGTCCTTTTTCATAACTGAAAAACGTTCTGAAATGTATGGTATTAAAATTTCTAAGGAAAAAATAAGCAACAATATTAATCGGAAAGGGAAAAACCGTCAGTCATTACTTCTGCAAGGAAAGAAGACTCAAAACGAATGCCCGGAAAAGATGTGTATTGTTTTTAATATTTCTGAAGTTAAATCGTTAATGGCCAGAGATAATTCCGCAGAAGCAGAAATCAGTTGCAGTCTTTAAATACATATATAGCAACAATAAATAAAATAAATCGAAATTTATCACTTAAAAATGTAAAAAAGGAATAAGTTTCACCAGTTTTTGTCAAGGCATGTGGCTCAAGTCAGAACAGTTTGTAGAACCCTGTATGAAAACTTTAGCTGGAGATAAAAGGAAATAAATCGCGATCCTTGATGAAGCTTGGGTTTACTTAGATGACTGCAGCGAAGAGAAGGTCTTTTTATTATAAAAAACGAAGAGGAAAAATAAATGTACAAGCCTGGTTCCCTCAATGCAAAGAAAGTTTCAGTAAGAAGTTTATGATTGTCGTAGGATTATCTTGCAGTGAGAAATTAAGACTAACGTCATGGGAAAATGTTAAAATCAATTCAACATACTCTGAAGAGAAAGTTTTATGTTCAATATTTACATAAAAAATTCCATTTCTTTATCCCAGTGACTTTCAGAGATTGAAACTTCATTAACACAAAGCAATAAAGTCATACTTCGAAAAGTACCGCTGCATTCCTTGAAAAAGTAAAGACTGATACAGGTATTGCATTTGCACCTTTTCAGTTTATTCCTGCGAAGTCCCCCTGACATTTCATCTATGCAGGAATTCCGGAAAGAGTTTTTTCTTAGAGCAAACCACCACGATTGATGGGTTCTGAAAAGTAGTAGAAGAAGAATGGAAATAATATCCCTGAAACTTTAATGAAAAGCCCATATATCATGGAAAACACGATGCAGACCAGAAAAATAAGCTATCCGATAGAACACAGAAAATATTTTTTACATTTTAAACATTAATTAAACGGCCCCGAAATCATTCTAAAAATGTACAAATTCTTTGTATAAATGCTATTCTAATAATATTGAATTGTTTGAATACTGGTTATTTCATGTTTTCTCACAAGCAAACGCTTTCTGCCAGCTCCAGTTGTTCAGTAAAATACTATTTCCTAATTATAATAAACTTGCATTTTACTCATATTTTTCTCATATTTTATGCCAATTGTATAAAAATATAATATATTTAAAAAGAAACCTTAATTCAAGAAAGATTAATTACTATATTTTGAGTGATGAACCACTATATGCTACTTTTGGGTGGTTTCGCTTTTTTTAGTTTCTTGAAGTAGTCGTGTCCACCTTCAGTTTTGTCAAAGACATAGTCTGGCAAAGCTTCTTTTCCGTAAAGCTTGATATAAGTGGCTGGACATTCCAAAGCAAGCCACTGAAAGTCTTTCATTGTCATGCTGAGATCATCCATAGGTCCACCTTCAACTTTCAAATTATCGGCAACTTTAGAAGTTTTCGTTTTTTCTCCTATCTTGGGAGTATAATCGGCTTTGGTGATTGAGCAATCAGCGAATTTCTCCTGAAAGAAATGAAAGAAAGGTATTAAGATTAGGATTTTGTAATCCATTCTTTAAAGGTAATAATTAACTCTTTTAAGAGTAAAAAATCTGATGTGTACAACACATGACTTCCTTGTACGGAATATTAAATTATACGCATTTTTTCTTGCATTTCATTTAAACTTATTAGATTGAATTAAACCTACTTCGCCGACAGCGCATAAACCACAATAGAATAAATGCATTCTAAAATTCACTTTGTTTACCATAGCGAAACTCTGGCGCTAGGTTTACTTAACAGTATTATATTTCGCTCGTATTATAACTCAGTATGCACAAAATTTATATCATTTAAAGAATTATCTAATCGTTGACACACGTTCTATTCAAATACTATAATAAAACTAGAACTATGTATAAAACGAATTAAGCAAACAAAACAAAAAAGAAACAGTTTTTCACAGACGATTGAGTATTTCTCATTCAATTAATTCAGTTTTCACTTCGCGACAAGGCAAAAATACATAAAAACTCAAATATCTATTAAAAATTACGAAGTAAATCTTAAAAACGCTTATTTCCTCGAAAAAATTCCAGAAAGGATTAAGCATGATTAAAATAATAAATGAAGGCGTTATCTTTGTTGTTGCGAAGCTAAGTTTCTCTAGATTGGCAACAAATCCATCCGCTACTCAGCTGTTTCAAATGTAAACAAGAGCAATGGCCGCCATCAAATTAGGCTTAGCGACACTTAAACAATTTTAAAATTGTTGATAATTCTAAAAATATTGCATACAGATTTACTAAAGGCATAAAACCCTTAACCGGAAGATAAAAAACAACATAATTCAATCATTTTTAAAGCAAAAAATGTACAATTTACAAACATATAAGAGTAAAGAAACTGAGATCACTGAGCTGGGTAACAGAGTGGATATATATATAAATATATTTATATACGTTTGGTGCGGCCGAACCAAAATACGAGATGCACATCTACATGTTAGCAGTCCTATATACAAAATTTCAACGTTCTGAGACTACTCGTTTTTAAAGTTATGCGAGATACGTACGTACAGACGCCACGAAAAATTCTCTTCAGAATTAATTTTAAAGCAGTTTTATAATTTTTTTTTGAAGGAAAAGAGTATTTTATTCTGTCATTACGTACAGATATCACGCAAAAACATCGTTAAATTGCATTCGAAAGCGGTCAAAGTGGATATTTTCGTTGAAATATGCTGCCTGAAGCTTTTCGCAATTACAATACTTCCTTTTTACTTCGTACAAGGAACAAAATGATCATTTTGTGCTGAATACGTAAAAGTGAAAATATATATATATATATATAATTACCGTCTGCAGGCTCTCTGGCGTAAGGTGTCAAAATGGGATATGCCACCACAGAGAAATCGATGCAAGATTTCACACTTCTTGCTATGCTTTTCACAAAGTTATCCAGCAGCTGTTGAGGTAATTTATCCCATTTCTCTGTCAGTGAACGGGAGGGTGTCCTTGTTTATTGAAGGGCATTTTCTACCATCCAGACTTCTTCCCAAACATATTCAATAGTATTCAGATCTGGAGAATGTGCTTGCCATACTCCAGATCTGAATTGCTTGTTGAATATCCTTTTCTCTAGACACTCTTGCACAGCGAGTTTTCGATGATGACATATTGCGCTGTTGTTCGTGAAAACATATTTATCACTGACATCACCACGGAACATGCGAACAGAGGCAGCAAAACATCCTTAATGTATCGTTGGCCGGTCATAGTCCCAGTTGGAAGCACATCGAGCGACCTACGGCCGTTGGTCATGATCCCAGTATCATGATACTACATCACTACATGCTCCGTAATAAATATGTTAGCCTTCTTAAAAAAGCTGATATATTGCTAAGAACGGGTCACAGAGAGCTATGTATTGCTTAAAAGCATAAGTGTGGTTGTATGCCAAGAGAAATAAAATAATGCCAGAATACTAGGACGTAACAAAAAAAAAAAAAAAAAAAAAAAAAAAGATAATTTATTGCTTTCTGAAATCCAGAAGGCTGAAAAAGGTTTAAGGAACAAAATGGTCATTTTGTGCTGAATACGTAAAAGTGAAAAATATATATATATAATTACCGTCTGCAGGCTCTCTGGCGTAAGGTGTCAAAATGGGATATGCCACCACAGAAATCGATGCAAGATTTCACACTTCTTGCTATGCTTTTCACAAAGTTATCCAGCAGCTGTTGGAGTAATTTATCCCAGTTCTCTGTCAGTGAACGGGAGGGTGTCCTTGTTTATTGAAGGGCATTTTCTACCATCCAGACTTCTTCCCAAACATATTCAATAGTATTCAGATCTGGAGAATGTGCTTGCCATACTCCAGATCTGAATTGCTTGTTGAATATCCTCTTTCTCTAGACACTCTTGCACAGCGACTTTTCGATGATGACATATTGTGCTGTCGTTCGTGAAAACATATTTATCACTGACATCACCACGGAACATGCGAACAGAGGCAGCAAAACATCCTTAATGTATCGTTGGCCAGTCAGTTTGAAGTCCCAGTTGGAAGCACATCGAGCGACCTACGGCCGTTGGTCATGATCCCAGTATCATGACACTACATCACTACATGCTGCGCCTTTCTTGAATGTTTGCCGAACTATATGCAGTAACACACGCCACATCAGTTAGTCAGGAAAAAAGTACACAAATCAAGTCGTCTTTCAATCCAATTGCGATATTGACGACACCATTGCAAATGGATGTAACGGCTACGTCTAGACAATGGAATGCACACAACTGGACGGCGGGCATATGGTACTGCGTGATGCAAACGTCTGGCTGCTGTTTTTCGGGAGATTTACTTTCAAATAGCAGGAAGTAAATGATTTGCTACCTCAGTGGCAACAACACTGTGGCTGACGTCGAACTCCCTAGCAATATGTGTTATTTTTCGCCGTATTTCAATCTTGCCAGAATTACGGACACGCGTAAAATCATCTAAGTGATCTACTGTCTTCGGCCCTTAGCAGTTATCCACCAGTGTATATACAATGTTAATAAATAAGATAAGAAATTGTTACGATTCCGTAGTGGAAAGCGGTTTAGTTGAACAGATGCAATAATGAAAAAAATATTACAAATTTAAATACAAACAGCCATCTGGCGTCGTATAGCTCCATAAGTTTCTTGAGGTATGTTGTGCAAGGTATGGAACCAACTGCGTACTCATTTCGTCTGCCAAATGTACAAAACGGTACCAAGAATGTCTGGCTGCAGTAAGATACTATTCTTAGGTAGTGACGTCAGGTGCAAAAGATGTGTGGCATTATATAACAAATTTGATTCTTTGTTCTAGTTTGTCTTTCTCCAGACAAGGCCCCCAGATATTCAGTGTAAATCGTGTTTCATTACAAGACCATTTGTCTAACTGGACAAAACTACGTCTCAGTATCTTTTAAAAGCGAGGCCTTTTGTTTGCAGTGCACAGAACAGTAGGTGCTTTCACTTGGATAATTCATGTTCAGTGAAAGGCCTCATTACAGCCTAAACACACGATCTTATGCCTAAGGTTCCCTGATTATAAATAACTTTAAATTTATCATATAACATTTCAGGTTCCTCATATAACGTTTTTTCCAGATTTGCAGGTCACAATCTTGATATAAATCAAGACCTTTAAGTTTAAGGTATTTTCTCCCTTCTTACTGCATACGTTCGTGGTGCATTTGGAAAGCACGTCCGGTTAGCAGTCGGAAAGTCCGGAGTTCAAATGCCAGGGATAGCAGTGCTCACTTTTCACATCTCCTGCTTAGAGAAAACGTAATGATTCATTAAAGTAACCAATCAGGAAAAGACCAGTCTTTGTTCCAAACTCCAGGGGGACTAGTTAGCATTGCTTTGGGAGTTTCGCCAGTATCATGTAAGTTTGTAATTAATCTTTATCATTCTAGATTTGTGGGACATATGAATATCAAATATGGTTTGTTTGAAAGAATATTTAAATGTTTTATGTTTCATTTCATTCTTTGAAACTATTCTCTAAACTAGGATCATCTCTTTTACTAACCTTTGGCTTTTCGTATTGTATTACTGGTTTGAAAGATTTTGTTGGGATAGGGCAATCAACCTTTTGATAGTCTCTCATAGCAGTGGTCATTTTTTCCATGGGACCAGTGGGAAGAGTGAGATTGCCTCTTTGTGCACGGGAAGTTCTTTGAACAGGTATGTCTTCGGGAGGTGGTTCGTAATCTGTCCTGTAAGTTGTTTTTCCTATGAACGGTTTATCCGACAGTTTATAAGAGCGAAATAATGGATGCCACTCTGGTATTTTCCTGAAAGAAAAAAAAAAAAAATGTGAGAATGAAGTTTTATCTCTATGACTTTTGAATGCATCATTCTTTTTCTGTGAAAAGAGATTATTTGGGAAACAGAATTTGCTTCAATTACGCAAATATTCTTCAGCGATTCTACGCAGATTTTAGTATTATGTGATTATAAATAAATTATAAAATTCAACGTAGTAATTAGCACAAATGAACAAAAAATTATCACTGACTGCAGTTTCGTTTTAAGATCCAGAAGTTGTAGTGCTTGACGTGAAAGTTTTAATGCTGGGTCGAAAGAAGTGAAATGGGCCAAAAGAGACTCGGAACAGGTTTTCCCGCATCCAACAGGAACAGGAATTAATGAAAGCACTAGTTTTAGCCTCCGAAAACTGAAGTTTGTGATATTTATTGCAACAATGGAAAGCTACTGAGAATTTTTTTATTTTCCCTCTGCTTAACTTAAGGTATGTACTTGCTTACCCTGAAATTTAATGGTCTGCCGGCTTTTCTTTCATTCGTAGACCGCATTCACCCAAAATTTTGTGAATGTTGTATAAATGAAGGCTCGATATTCTGCATTTATAACTAAAACCCTTATCACATACGATATTTGTTGCCGGAACAAAACGTTTGGTGGAACAGTTCTGAGAAACGCTCTTTGGCGAAATAAGGTTACCATCTTCACTTGGTAAACAGGCTGAAAGCCAAAAAGAATCAGTTATCGCTCATATTGGCGAAAGTAACGTTTCCCTTTAAGTGACGTTTGCTTCTTCGTGTTGTTTTGTATCGCTCACACTCTTTTCGTTTTAAACTTTATTGTTAGTAATGGAAGATAATAGAAAGGTGATTGCTATCAAAGTTAATCACTTTGATCTCCACTCTGGCACTTCAAGTAACAGATAAACCCACTTCTGGTTACAGTAATCAATTACATCAGTAATAGCCAAATTCTATGTACACTAAGAATAGTTTAAAACGTGTGCTGGATAAGTCTATTTATCAGACATTATTTATGTGTATTTTCTGTTGTCTGCATTCCAATGAAAATTTGATGGCTCACTGGAAAATTTGTGACCTGGTGAAAGCATTTTCTTGACTAAATTTATGGCTCATAATTACTGTTCTGTCCATTCAAGCAAACAAACAGAGGGAAAAAAACCTTCTATGACAAAAATCTTTATGGCTGTTATTTACATCCTCACAGCTACCAGATACTATTCAGCAAAATGAAGATCAAATAAAGCATATGAATACTTGAGCAGTCAAACATGTGCGAGTTGTTTACTGTCCCACAGAACACTCGGTAATATACCTAAAACACATTAATTATACCAACTCTAGAAATTAGGTGGTGCACATCATGAGTTTGTTTTATGTGATCATGGCAAAGCCTCGAGGGATATCTGCCTAACAGGAGGGATCCCTTTGTAGAAGATTTGGTACTTTTCCGTTTTGCCGGCGCAGGCGATAAAGTTGCCAATAATGGTACAACTGATGCCAAACGGTATATCCTCGCTGGTAATCTTTTACCCCTCATTTTCAAAAAACAAGTCGCAGCCATTTCTTATCAGATTGATTGTTTCTTTCAATACTGGCATACTATTACATAGAAATTTTACCAGATGGTTCAATTTTATGCCCTAAGGCCATTCGAGGTAATTAAGTCAATTAGGATGCAATCACAGTTGTGCACTGTTTTAAGTAATCAAATGTTTAAATGCACAGCTGTTACATTTCTTATTATTTATTAGTCATGTTTATATTACGTATATCACACATATGATATAATTATGAATTAACCCAATAACAAAATGTGTACACTCTTTAGTACTCACATACTCATCAATTATTTTTCAACTGATTATTACATATCCATAATAATTTGCAAAGAACTGATGACTACAGTTGCTGCCAATTACATGATCGTTATATGAATTATTCGTTATATGAATAAGTAACTTCAAATAAACTTTTTGGCAATGCTCATTTTTGTATTCATACATACATATATATAAACATCTAATAAGTCGTATATTTACATACAGATAGAGAGATGCGATGGTTTAGAAGTTGTTAATATATATTTATTAGTATTAATGTAATGAATAAGATTTATATTAATGAATGTATATACAAATGTTTTTTCATCATGCATAATAATAAATTCAGAAATTTCCAATGTTTCAATATGTAGCATTTACAATAAAAGTATAGTTTCTAATGTATTTATAATTCAAAAAGTATTTCATTAATAACATGAAAATAATAGACAAATTTAATGAATATTCTAATTATTACATAAGCTATGCTTTTCTTTATTATGCATCTTTTATGCTGTTTAAAATGTGTCATTGATTATGCAATTAATTTAAAAGATAAGTAATTAGGAGAAAAGCCGCGCATATACAAACGGATTTTAAAAAATTATTCAACTTAAATTTAAGAAATAAAATTCTATTATGTAACAGTGATAATACACGATCAGCACGAAATACGACAAATTTGGCGAACTTTTGGCGACGAACAATTTGTAAACAAATCCGAACTGCAAGAACGTCGTAAAATACTGTCAACTCTGAAATTTCCACGATTATATATTTAATGAATATGTAAACATTTTAAAAATAACTCAGGCAGACAGCAATAATTAAATCGGCCTCTATTTTCACCGTCCATGCTTCACAGTGAGAGCCATCGCCATATTGAAAGTTACCCGTGATCCTTCAGAAGCAGAACTTTCGTCTGATTGGTTGAACGTTCGAGGAACACGTCTCCAGCCGGAACATTTTCGGAAAAGTTTTAAAATTTGTTGCTTCGTAGCCGGGACATGTTCCTCCTAGCTAGACGATACATTTCTCGGAAGCCTCCCGCTTAAAGCAGTGTTACTAGAATCTCGTTTCACGGAATTGTCCCGGGTAGCCGCGCGCGTCTCTAGAAGTGATAGCCTCTTAAAGCGTTATCACATTAGCTGTTTGTTGCCGGAACAAAACGTTTGCAGCAACAGTTCTGAGAAACGGCCTTTGGCGAAATAGGGTTACCATCTTCACTTGGCAAACAGGCTGAAAGCCAAACAAGAATCAGTTATCGCTCAGATTGGCGAAAGTAACGTTTCCTTTCAAGTGACATTCGCTTCTTCGAGTTGTTTTGTATTGCTCACACGCTTTTCGTTTTAAACTTTATTGTTAGTAATGGAAGATAATAGAAAGGTGATTGTTATCAAGTTAATCACTTTGATCTCCACGCTGGCACTTCATGTAACAGATAAACACACTTCTAGTTATAGCAATCAATTACATCAGTAATAGCCTAATTCTGTATACACCTAAGAATAGTTTAAAAACATGTGCTGGATAAGTCTATTTATCACACATCGCTTATGCGTATTTTCTGTTGTCTGCATTTCAATGAAAATTTGATGGCTCACTGGAAAATTTGTGACCTGGTGAAAGCATTTTCTGACTAACTTTATGGCTCATAATTACTGTTCTGTCAATTCAAATGACAAAAATCTATATGGCTGATATTTACCTCCTCACAGCCAGCAGATACTATTCAGCAAAATGAAGATCAAATAAAGCATATGAATACATAAGCAATCAAATATATGCGAGTTGTTTACTGTCCCATAGAACACTCGGTAATATATCTAAAACACATTAATTATACCAACTCTAGAAATTAGGTGTTCACATCATGAGTTTGTTTTATGGTTTGGTTTATTGAGATTACAGCAAAGCACACTAGGGTTATCTGCCTAAGGGAAGGGATGCCTTCGTGGAGGACTTTCTAAGGGAAATTGGCTCGTATACACGTTATACATGGGGAAAACCACGAAAGCGTCCATGCAGCCAGCCCGTTCGCGGGATTCGAACCTCGAACCGAACTACCAGTGTTCAGCGACTTTACCGCTCGGCCGCTGGTGGGCTCAGTTGGTTTTATGTGATTACCGCAAAGCCTCGAGGGATAACAACAGGAGGGATTCCTTTGTAGAAGATTTTTTTTTAAACTGGCTCGTATACCAGTTACAAATGGGGCAAACCAAGGAAAACGTCCCATGTAGCCAGCCCGTTCGCCGGCATTCTAACCTGAGACAGAACTACCAGTGTTCAACCGACGCTTCGGCCACTAGTAGGCCCGTGCACTTAATTGGAAAGTGCAATTCATTATGTAAACAGACATGAAGGTGATAATCAGTTGTGCTCTGTTTTAAGTAAATCAAATGTCTACAAATGGGATCAGCTCCTGTTAGGCATTTCTTATCCCTTATTAGTAATGCTTTGCTGTATTCACATAGAAACATAACGTCATGATATGCACCATTATGAATTTAACTACAGTTGGTACAATTAATGTGTACACTCTTTAGTACTCACATACACATCAATTATTTTTCAACTGATTATTACATATCCATAATAATTTGCAAAGAACTGATGACTACAGTTGCTGCCAATTACATAATCGTTATCTGAATTAAAAGTAACTTCAAATAAACTTCTTGGCAATGTTCATTTTTGTTTTCATACATACATATATATATACACATCTAATAAATCATATATTTACATACAGATAGAGAGATACGATGTTTTAGAAGTTGTTAGTATATATTTATTAGTATTAATGTAATGAATAAGATTTATATTAATGAATGTATATACAAATGTTTTTCATCATGCATAATAATAAATCCATAAATTTCCAATGTTTCAATATGTAGCATTTACAATAAAAGTATAGTTTCTAATGTATTTATAATTCAAAAAGTATTTCATTAATAACATGAAAATAATAGACAAATTTAATGAGTATTCTCATTATTACATAAGCTCTGCTTTTCTTTTTTATGCATCTTTTATGCTGTTTAAAATGTGTCATTGATTATGCAATTAATTTAAAAGATAAGTAATTAGGAGAAAAGCCGCGCATATACAAAGGGATTTTAAAAAATTATTCAACTTGAATTTAAGAAATAAAATTCTATTATATAACAGTGTTATAATACA